TCGTCAAAGGACGCACTGAATATGATTATATCGTCCAGATAGGGTATACAAACAGTATCCCGTAAGTCTCCTAGACAGTTCTCCATAAATCGTTGGAAAGCCCCTGGGGCTCGGGAGAGTCCGAATGGGATCCTCACCCATTCGTAGAGACCCCATGGAGTGATAAATGCTGTATAAGGCTGACTTTTAGCGCTCATGAATCCTTGATGGTAAGCTTTGCCCTGGTCTAGTACTGAAAACCAAGAGTTCCCACCGAGATTATCTAAAGTCTCTTGTATACTCGGTATCGGATGGCGATCAGGTCGCGTTTTCTTGTTCAGTGCTCTGTAATCCACGCATAGCCGCAAACTTTGGTCCTTCTTTCTGACACAAACAACCGGTGAACTGTAAGACGAGGAGGACTTTCGGATGAAATCACGATTTAACAAATCTTCAATATAAGCCTTTACCTCTGGGTATAGTGGTTTTGGCACTGCCACATAGTTCTTCTGAACAGGGGTTTGATCCTCAAGATCCAAGTTTAACTCAAGGTCTCTAATACAGCCAACATCACTGTCATCCCTTGCAAATGACTCTGCTTCCTCGGTAAGTAATTTAAGTGCCACTTCCTTCTGATGAGCATTGAGACCACTTAGGTCTATGTCCTTTATGCGTGATGGAGTACTCAAAGGTTCTTCAGCTTGTGGGGGTATAAGCGGTGGGCCTCCGGCGTTTCATGTACATGTTGCCTGATCGGCAACTTTTGCCTCTGTACTCTCTTCATCAGGTGCTTTCATGTTCCCATTAGAGTCCTTTAACCTAACTTCTACTGGTGTAACTGATTGTACAAGTTGTAGTCGCCCGAGCAAGGTTCGTCCCGGGAGTCTGATATCATGGTTGGTATTGTTAACAATGTCAATTTCCACTTTACTTGATTTCCCTTTCTTTACAGTCAACAAAGTCTCTGTAATCTCTAACCCGCTAGGCCATGGGTTAGACTCATCCGGTTCAAACAGTACTGGAGTAGTTCTCTCTACAGGCCCTGTGTTTGCTCTGCAAGTCACACTTTGACTTTGTCTGGGAGGTATAATAGTATCATGCTTCATGGTCTTGATCAAGCAGAGATCACTTTGATTACGGCTTTGGATAAAATTCACTAATGCTGAAGCATTCTTGCTATTTAACTCAGTAAAACTTGAAGTAATTTCTTGATGTAGCATAGCATCCTCACTACTGGTTTTAACAATCTCCTCAATCACGTTAAAGCCGATTATTGGCGTGTCTAATGATTGGTCTGTAACAAGAAAGGGAACTGCCAATTCCTCCTTAGACGACAACAGTCTAAAGTTAAGCTCCACCCATCCTATGTATGGCATCTCACCACCATTGGCTGCAGTCAGGTTCAGTTCAGAATTTAACAACTCTGATATGTTCTTAATAGTGATCCCAGGGAAATTTCTTCTTACTAACTGGTCAGATATTAAGGACACCTGGGCCCCAGTGTCCCAAAGTACATCTACCTTTTGGCCATTGATCTCCCCCTTAACAGTACACCTCTTTCCTACCAATCCTACTACTGTGGCGTGCTGCTGTGGTGTTAGGTGACTGACAAAGGTGCTACTACTGGGATCCGCATTCTCTTGTTTTGCTTTGTTTGACAGGTACTCAATCGCATTACACAACACTTTGTGTTCCTGCCAGTGTTTCTTCTGACAATTCCGGCTACAATACTTCACGACCTTGCACTTTGAACATTGTAAGAACTTTGCCTTTTCTGACTGAACTTTCCGACAACCATTACATCGGAGGGACTTGTTACTACTGTTGTCGACTATTCCGCGTCCCGCCGGAATAGTCGTCGACCGTTTCCCTGTCGACTACCCCGGTTCTCGTTACGGTAACATTCCCGAGCCACATGCCCCGAGTCACCACAAGCAAAGCAATGATTACATTCATCTCCTCTTCCCCTCTGCTTGCAATTCTGACAACCCCAACTTGTACGGTTTGGTTGATAACGACGCCCACGGCCCCTGTAGGATGGCCCACGCCAGTTAGAATTTTCTGCTTGGCTCCCTCGACGATTGACTTGATCCTTGAGATCATTTATCTCTAGCAAAAGCTGCTGACCTCCATCTGTAGTTGCATTCTTAGCTCTTGCTTCCCTCTCGTCTTTGCCTACCTCACATGTATGAACTTTGGCAGACTTTTGGCGTTCACTAGCCAGCTTGGAACTCCTTTCTGCTTGTTGCGAGGCTAATTCATTCACCTGCCGCATGAGCTCTTCATCGGTGAGTCCCGAGGTGCGTAAGGTGGGTCTTAAGTTAGATGCAAGGATGTCATCACGAAGACCAGTTTCAAATGATTTTACAAAGGTTTTCTGAATCAGGGAGGCACCGTAATTGAACTCGCAATCTGAATCCTTACTTGCAAAAGTTAGTTTCTCTGTTTGCCCTGGTTAGCCGATCTGACCAGAAATCTTAAATTCGCGCCGTAGCAAAGATGAACTCGACTTTGTTTTCGCTAACTGACTCAATATATCTTCCACTCCCTTTTCTTGTTTAGGTCCTCCGTCAGAAGATTGTTTCTCCGTTTTTACTCCTGAAGCTGCTGGTTTTTGCTCTACCTCTTCGAGGGGCGGTACATTGCCGGTGACAAAAGCAAGTAGCTGTTCGAGGCACGCTCGTGCTTCCTTTTCATCGCCCGCCATTTTGCTGTCGATGGTTTTCGTAATAATTTTGATTCTCTGTATCTTACTTTTACCCGCAAGGTCATCGTCGATTCCCAATAGTCCTATCATTTCAGCCAAACCCTTCTCATCTTGTTCGAACAATCGAGACTCTACTTGGAGTTGTAATTGTTCCATAATTAATTCTAACCGCGAAAGCTTATTTCCAAACTGAACACAAGTAACCTAGCGCAAACGCTGTAATTCCGGTGACAGTGAGCCGACAGAACAAATCAACTCGCCCACTTCGCCGAACACAAAACAACTAGCGAATGTACTCCACCGTCACAGAGCCCCAATATTGTAAAGTCCTACCGTACGCGTCTGACTGTTTTCGGTCGCCGCTTGTCTCCTCAACTGCAAATCAACGTGTTCATACCGCTCCACTCACAATCTCCTTAGCTCCAATTCTGACCATTTCTGCTTCCCTTGACAACAAATAACGTCCCACGGACTTGAGAATCGAAGTTCGTCCTGGCAGGGTCGCCAAAATGTTACCCTTGTTTCATGAGTCCACAAATAAACCGTAAAACGTCTTTACACTTCACATGCTTCACATGTTTATTTTGTTTCTTTTTCTCTCGTCACTCGTTCAGCTCGCGCTCTCTTTTCTGATAACCCGGATGAATACGTCATACACAAGACTCGTTTCCGCTTCCGGTTGTTTTGTTTTTAGTACAATCTCTACATGTAACATTCTTGGTTCAAACGTAAATGGAAAAGACCTTGTGAGATTATCTGTTGGTATCACAGCAAGAGTATTTGTATTTATTCCGTTTACAATGCTATCAGTTATTGCGCTTGTGTTAATATTCAACACATCAATCGAGTTTGTGATATTTGGTAGTTTTGATCCATAATCTGTTTTTGTAATAAGTTTCTTTTCAAATCCAATTAGGTCTCCAAATTCTGTTCCTCTCAGATCAAGTTGATAATCACCATCAAGTGATATAAGAACTCGATAGGTAGATAGTATAAAAGTTAGATTGATTGAATAAGTTTTTTTTCCACTTGAATCTGTTGAGTGGTGAGACTTTTGAGACATATATTGATGAATGTAATCATTGATATCGGAGTAGGAATACATTCCATCAGTAAAAGTAATTGTTTGCCAGTTGGTTCCATCATGAGTGTATTTTATTTTATTGTTTTTATAATCACTTCTAATATTATACCAAGAGTAAGTCATAGACAGCCGATCAAGTGCAAGTTGGTGTTTCATTTCAGGGTCAAGTTTTAGAGGTGGATTAAACTTTATTGTAAAATCACCAGGTCTGCTTGTTCCTCTTTTTTCCCTGTTTATTGAGGAAATGTGAATAGCTCGTTCTTCCATTTTTAATTAATTGGTATATAATTTATTAGTAAATCATTAAGTTGTTTTTTTGAGATCACTTTCATTTGGTTGAGAAGATGTGCAATTTGAGAAAACTCAGGTATTACACCATTATTCCCAGCAAGAATTGAACCACCAAGTAATTCAAGTCTGTCTAGAAGTTGATGTGGGTTGTTAAAGTAAATCATTCCAGAGCCAGATTTTGTTTTATAATACTTAAGATTACTTAAATTTGTTGCATATATGCTTAATGTGTTAAATTTATTCATAAAATTTATTGTGTTTTCATGTGGTTTTTTACTTATTGGTTTAGCTAAAACATAGCCGTTTGGGTCACGTGTAAAAAATGCAGTATTTTTTATTGCTTTACTAGTATCTTGTAAATCTTCGTTAACATCTTCAATTGCTTTATCAATAGTAGAAACATCCTCTTTAAAATACTCAGAAGGGAGTTTGTGGAATTCATTAGTTTTGAGTATATCTTGAGTTTCTTTACTCATTAAATTTCTATCGAGGTCTTCAGGTTTAAATTTTGCTATTTTTGCTCCCTCATCTTCTTTTGGCTCTTCAATTGCTTCAAAACCAGGTAATTGCGCCAAATCCCATTTTTTTACCTCATCCATTTTCTCAAATCCTTCAGTTATAGCCAGCCTGTTTTGATTAAGTCCTTGTGTAAGAGCAAGTTGATTAGCTTGGAGTTGTTTTATTAATGAGTCTTGCTGCTCATCAATACTTTTTTTAATGCTATCTTGAGATTTAATAAGTGGTTTAAATGTTTCTTTAAAACCTTCCCGAGCATCTTGTTTTTGCCATTTTGTTATTTTTATTACATCTCTCACCTGTTTAGTCAAAGCATCAGCTTCAAGTTTATTTCTTGCAAGTTTTTTGTATTCTTCAATATCCATTTTATTTAATACATTATATTACCCCCTGTTACAAAAAATTATTTAATCCTTTATATAAATGGAAATACCAAACAACGATACCAATGACAACCCAGATAAAAAATATAAACAGTTGTTTCCTTACATGCTAGCAGATACATTTCGAATGTTAATTTGTGGAAACAGTGGAAGTGGAAAAACTAATCTGTTGTACCATATGTTAATTAAACCACTGTTGTACTATGATGAGATTTATCTTTACGCGCGTAATCTAGAACAGGATAACTATCAAAAGTTAATTCAGAAAATGAGGGAGTTAAGTAGTAAACTAGGTTATGAAATACTTCATGTGAGTAATGATGAAATAACCCCAGTGACAGAAATGGATTATGAAGACAATCAAAAACTTGTGATATTCGATGACTACGTTTGTCATAAAAACCAGAGACAGTTAATAGATTATTTCATCCAAGGACGACATAAGAATTGCTCTGTAATTTATCTAAGTCAATCTTTTTATAAAACACCTGAAGATATTCGATTGAATTGTTCTCACTACTGCCTTTATGAATTTCCATCATCGAGGGAAGCAGACAGAATATCATCTGAGTTGGGAGTTAATAAAGAAGATTATAAAGCAGCAACTAAAAAACCTTATTCATTTCTATACGTTGATAAACCAAAAAAACGTATTGCAAAAAACTTTACTGGTAATCTAGCCTAATAATTAAATTGGGAATATTTAACGAACAATCTTTTGATCATCCCTTTGCTAAAGGAATTCAAGGCGCCCCAGGAGTTGGTTTTAGTCTTACCGCAAATGGTAATTATGATATGAATAAAAAAAAACTCACAAATGTTGGAGCACCAAGTGATAATACTGATGCTGCTACAAAAAAATATGTTGATGATAATTCCAGTGGATCGCCTGCAACATCGCGATTGACAGTTGATTCAAACATTGATATGAAGAATACATACCGAATTACAAATCTTAGCACACCACTGGACCTTAAAGAACCACCCACAAAAGAATACGTAGACAACACATTTCTTGACAGAGATGGCTCCTACCCAATGAAAGGTAATCTCAATAAGGATAATGATCGAATATTTAATCTACCAGCTCCAAATGGAGGTAATCAACCAACACCATTAGCTTTTACAGATTTGAAGTATCTCCACGTTGCTGGAAAGAAATAAATGACTAATAATCTAAACATGGATAATAAAAAAATAATTAACCTTAGACCACCAACATCAAACACAGATGCTGCAACCAAAAAGTATGTAGATGACACAATACCTGATACTAGTTTTTTTATAAAAAAAGATGGAAGTGTAGTAATGACTAGTAACCTAAATCTTGGAAAGAAAAAAATAGTTGGTCTCGCAACTCCAGTGTTAAACACAGATGCTGCAACCAAAAAATATGTGGATGATAACACAGGTGCTCCAGATTTAAGTGATTATTTGGAAAAAGATGGCACTGTCGCGATGACTGGAAACTTAAATCTTAACAACAATAAAATAGTTAACCTCAGTGACCCCACCACAGATCAACAAGCTGCTAATCGCGGATGGGTTCGTAAACAAATAGAAAGGTTTGATCATCATTCTGGAGATGGAACAAGTGGTGTATTTACAATAACAGATCCAGTCTCACCAACAATCTTGTATTTACAGTTTATCTCAGGATCATCCTTTGATGATTTTGTTTTTACTTCATCATCACCTGGACAACCTCTTGTTGGATGGACACCATATTCGGGCACTTATATTAACAAAATTGAATTCCATTTTGGAACGCGAAATGTAAACGTTGACTTTTTGTGGTTTATTCCCAGAGATATCTCTCGTTCTATTTCTAAATTTTGGGTAAGTGGTAATCGAACTGGCACTTGGACACTAAATATTCAAAGGTCTTTGAAATATGATATTTCCGGGGTAAAACTAAGAACTCATGATAATCCAAATCACTCTGCTATCACTTGTCGTATATTTTTTGAACTACCAAGAGCAATTACCAAACCACTTAAGCAAATAGAAATTAACACACCTGATATTGTAATAAGTGGGGTTGTAAAAGCACATGTCAACCTTGGTGGTAATAAAATAAAGAATTTGAGTAATCCAACCCAAGACAATGAAGCTACAACCAAAGATTATGTCGACAAACTAGTTCATCATACTGCAGTTCAACCAAGTCATTACAACGACCAGTTTAGTTATCTTATGTCAAGTTCGAATCAATGGACTGATGAAATCGATGGAGGAAACTCCTTTAATATAACAAAGATAGATGACTTACCACCTAATAAAGGCAACTTTCACGATTATAATCACAAAGTTCTTTATACGACTATATACAAAAATTCCCAAGGTGGATATAAGTATAAGATGGGAATCAACTTTTACTGGTTAACTGCAAATGCTGACTATACCCTTTGTCTGGAAATACTTAACACTGAATATCTGCTATGGCATAAGTCTCAAATAAGTGTAGACAAAGGAACTTCAACAGGATTATCAATTGGAAATGTAAGTGTAAGGAAACTCTCCCATAGGTATAGCGATTCAATAGGACAAGCACAATTTATGTATTATCATAGAATAATAGTTAATTTCCGGAAGTTGTCATCCGGTAATAAGTTCTTTCTTCACATTTTGGTTAATATACCACAAGATGGAACTGACCTGGCTGTTTATCCGAGACAGTTTTCAGGAGTTTATATAATTACTTATGGAATTGTGGGCACATTTAGCAATATCGATCCAGATAAGGCCTATGATTTTCATACAGCATTTGATATCAAACCAACAGAAGTGGTGTACAATGTTGATATTAATGCAAATCAAAAAGTAATCAAAAATATAAAAATAGATCCAAATGACAAAAGCAGTGTGGCAACAATGGGTCAGATTGAGGCTATGACTAAATTTACTATAAACAATCTTTATCGAAATTATTTTGAAGAAGTTTTTGATTTTACTGATGCAAGTAATTACGGATTAAATAAAAGTTCATCTGGTGTTGTTTTTAATTCCTTAATTTCTATTAGTGGTGATTCTGCAAGAAATATTACTTTACCTAATAGAACCATAGATGATATAAAAAAAGGTGGCTTAGATGTTGCTGGTTATAGTATTAATTTTTCTCCATTTTCTGGTGTTTCAGAATATACTTTATTTATTGTTTTTTATCATTGGATAAACAGGAATTTTAGCCTAATAAAAAAAATCCATCTAATTCTAATCCTTTATTAAAATTAAATTATGATAAAACAAACAATAAAGTAAATTTAACTATCCATAAAACAACACAAAATATAGACATATCAAGTAGTTTTAATGGAAAAAAAATTGTTATATATTTGTCAGAAAGTTTTAGTGCAGGTGTTACAAAAGTTAAAATAAGTGACTACAGCTCAACAATAACTATGTCAGCTGTTAATTATAATCTCAATCAACAGTTTGTTTTTAGAAATGAAGGCGGCCTGTTAAGTAAAATATTGTTTTCTCCAAACTTTTACGACACCGACTCTGAGCAATATCATAAAGTAATTCTTCAAGAAAAGTTAGATGGATCTTATATAGTGTAGACCCCTCCCTTGGCTACGCCGCACTAATCTATACAAAAGAATAAATGAAGGATATATTTGAATTTAATCACATAGACAGGACTCTGTCAGAATCAGATATTAAGACACTAAAAGATTTTTACAGTCACTATCATAAGAAATACTGGTGTTTTAAACGTTCGTACAAGAGATATAAACTGCTTGATGAAACACTTACACTTTCTGGAGGGGGATTAGTGGTGATAGGAACTATTACTGGTGGAATAACACTAAACCCAATAATACTCGGTGTGATAAATGGCGCTGGGTTGCTCGTTGCAAGTATTTCAAAAATGAAGAATTACAAAAAGAAAATGGAAATGGCGCAAATTGCATTTACGACGTATGAAAAAGTGCTCGTGGAATTGAGATCAGCTCTGAGAGGAGAAGAGTTTAAAAAGCAAGATTTTATCGATCGAATGAAGATGATAGATGAAATGATAATTGACCAGACTCCTCTGGCAGATAGATTTGTTAAAAAGTATAATAAAAAGTTTAACTAGGTGTGGGATTGTAATTTTTAGATAAAATTTATGTAAAAATTTTAACTTAAGTACTCAAAAGTGTATTTTGACAATCTTTTTTGGAAGTTGCTGATTTACGATTTTTCTTACAAATTTTTGAAATATTTGAACCACAAATACCTAATTCAAACGCAGCTTTTTTAATAGAAATATATATTTTTTTCTCACCATTTTCAATATTAATGGAAAAAATTGCTTTATTATGACTTTTTTCAACATTTTGCTTACGGGTCAGTAGTTGTAAATTTTTAATTCTATTATCTTTCTTACAATTGTTGATATGGTCAATCTCTAAACATCTAGGAATTAATCCTTTAAATACTTCAAAAACAAACCTATGATGAGAATATGAATAAGGTTTTTCAAGTTTTTTATCATATAAACTAAATTTCAAATAACCATTACCATTTTTACTCATTCTCATAATTTCTCCAGTTTTTACATTTATTACTTCTCCATTTTTAGAAGCGGCATAATTACTAAACACCGGATGATTATAGTATTTTTTACCACCAATTAAAACTCTTTGCTTTTCTCTAGTTTTATTTTCTATTTTGAAAAGTTTGTAGTAACTGTATTTACGAATACATGGGAGGACTTGTGAGGTTACCCATTTTTTGAGCTTTTTAGCGGTTTCTAATTTTGAGGATAATACAAGGGAGTAGAAACCAGATTCATTTATAAAAATAGGAGGCCTACCTCTTTTAGAATAACCCGTCGAAACGACGGGAAAAGATTTTTGGTCTTCAGAGTCAACATGTTTTCTAATAGCTTGGTCAGTATCACTATAACCTAGGATCTTAGCGACATCTTTTCCTTGAAACCAAATATTTTGCTTATTGTCAACATATGAAGTCAATTCGATTCCTAATTTCACATTATTAAACCTTTTCGCAAGCATAATTATTAATTAATACTTTTATTTTCTTTAAATCCATTTTTATAATATTCCCACCACTTTTCATAATTAGCAAATGTTTGTTTAGAAAGCTTAAGACCAATTTGTTTATATTTTTCACAACCCATTTCTTCGAGAAGTTTTTTGATCAAACAAAAAACACTTATCATTCTTTTGCGATTAAAATGTTCATTTATTTCGCCAATAGTTTCTTCATCTATTTCCATTAGTTTATTGTATAAACAGTATTCCTCATCATCAGTTAATGCTAACCTTTTTGAAATATCTTTTACTTTATTTTCATAATGGTACTTTCTCTGGTAAATACTCTTTCTACGATAGTGAAATCGATCGTACTCTTTCATATCATAATAACCAAGAACATGGCCATTAGACGAATCACATGATTCACACATGTAAAAACCTGATTCAACATAAAAATTGGGGGGTTGCGCCTCCTGCTGGTTTGTAATACAATCAGAGTTAACACAAGTTGTGTAAATTCTTTCTTCTTTCAAAAGTGGCTCCTCTAATTGTTTTTTACATTTTAAAAAATATTTCTGTATATTCTTCTATCTGCTCTTTTGTGTAGGCCATTTATTTTATTTGTTAATTAACTTAAAGTTATTTTTTGTTTAATTTCATCTAAGAGCTAAAGTGTGTATTTTATCTTCCATCACTTTACGCTTGTTATCATCTGCACTTAATGCAACTTTATTTATTTCTTTTGAGTAAATGTCATGATTTTCACTTCTTATAATTTTCATATTCCTCATTTGTTTTTCACCAGAAAATAAACATTGTACATAGTCTTCAAAATTTATACCTTTTTTTACAACATTCTTTTTTATTCCTTTACATTTTTTTACTTCATTACTTTCCTCTATTTTAAAACTGTAAAGTTTGGGCCGCAATCCAACAAAGTGAGTAATTTGTTTTCCTGCTACTTCATCTTTAAACATCCCAATTACTTTTTTATTAACTCCTGTCAGTATCCCAGATTTATGATCTGGTGGATAATCAGATGTGTCAAATTTGTCTTCTATATCCTGAGATATATCGTTGTAAAAGTCATCTGTTCGAATATGATACATTAAACTATCAGTATCTGTAAACAACAACTTAGCCTTTGGAAACTTTTCTTGAATATAATTATAGTGAAAATCAAACATAAGTGTTTTCGATAAATCAAGTATAGCTTGACCAACATATATTGGTTTATTAAAATACACCTCAGTTTTCTTCATGTGAATTGCTACAAGATTTGGATCAAATATTGTTGCTCTATCAAAGTTTGGTCGGCTTGATAATTTTAAAGCTTTAGCACGATTATCAACAAGTATTATTTTTTGTCTTTTTCTTATGTTTTCTATTGTTTTTCAAATACAGAATTATTCATTAGTTTAAAAAAGTCTTTCTCAAAACTGTTTGCAGCACACTTTCTTAATTCTGTATTTTTTCTTATGTAAGGCTCCATCCATGGGCTCTGGTTAAATGATATTCCTCTGTGAACTGCAGTAAGTATCATTCCCATTTCGAGATATTGCCGAAGATTTACAATATGTACTACATAGTTTTTTCTTGGTTTAAAATGACAAATTAGTTTTTCTACACCATCTATATTTAATCTTTCAGGTGCAAGCGGGTAATCATTATGTTTTTTCCATAACTCAGTTGGGTATTCTACTTCAAATATATAACCTTTTTTTACTAGTGGATTTCTATTTTTATCCAATATATCAATTACTCCTTTTACTGTTAAATCTTTCATCCATTTGAACCCACTTGTGGGAAGTGGTTAAGACATTGCCAATCCATAAAGATTATTTGCGTCGAGATATTGAATATATGAAGATGTTTTATCAGGATCATAATCATCCATATATTTATTATTTGCTTCTGCATATCGCTTTGATATGTGCGATATTCCACCTCTTATACCTCTCTCGAACATCATCAACATATCATAATCATGTAGTAATTGTAATTGTTGTCCTGTTTCTTTGAGACATGCATCCCATGCTAATCCGGGAGATGTGAAGTAATGTGCTGGGTCTAGATTGTAATAGCGAAGACATGTAGATCGAAAGTTTTCAAATACATCTGCTAATAGCAGGACATCTGACTTAAGATAAAGATCATGATAATCTCGTATATTCATACACCCAAAAGTTTTCCATACATTTAATGCATGTTGATACTCATCATCAGTAATATCTTCATCATTTAGTTTTGAATAAAATTCTTTTTGAGGGGGTAGTTGTGTTTCATCAAATTTTTTTATAGTAGAAACATAGTCATAAGGATAAACACCTTTACGAGTTAGAAGGTCTATTTTATCCCTGAATATTTCTTTAGTATTAACAAAATCATCTGGTTGTAAATTTTTTACAAGATTGGCAAGACTGGTTTGAAGAAACTTAAATGAGTCTATAAATCTTAATTCAAAATTTAATGATATGGTCTTTCCATCTTTGTTTTGGTACTCGTCAACCTTCACCTTTTTCGAAAAAGAAATATATTTTTCTTCAGTTAAAGGAATACATGTAAAATCACCCTTTATTTTGGATAACTGTTTAATAAATAAATGTGCATCATATCCTTGAAGATTATGAAATATAACTGGAATTATCATGGGCTTTCGACATTGTAGGTTACAATTACGATGAGCTGGTCCACGATACTCCCCAGTAAAATGACAGTGGTCACAAACTTTATCTTCAGGAAGTAATTTTTTTTTTTTACAAATATGACAAACTACAGATTTATTGTACTCCTTGTATTGTTTTCGAGTAATCGAAATACTTTTTGATCTCATGTAAAAATCGCCATAAATATTATTCGTAACTTTTTCTAGTTTATTCACAAAAATAAGAGGAATGTCATCATCTGGATTTTTCTTGGTATAAATAATTGTTTTAAATTTTATATCTGGATTTATTCCTTTGATGTAAAAACAAAACCCTGATGGTTCGTGTTTTTGATAATTGTAAGAGTATGAATCCTCTGGATTTGGCGAACAATTACTCATTGGTTTAGTAAAGCATTCAAAATCAGCATAAATTACAAAAGGAATTGGAAATTGTTTATTATAGTTTTCAAACTTAAGAAATGTTTGTCTTGGCGGCATTTTTACAGCAACTGTTTCATTAGATGAACAATATTTAATATGTTTTGATAATAATTCCTTTTTTGTAAAATGAGTAAAACAACGTTTACAAATATGTATAGGCTCGTTTGTTCTTTTTGTAATTTGTGAACGAAAAAGACGAGAAAATTTTTTAATAAGTGAATAATAGTATTTGCCTTCTTTTTCATAATAAAAAGGTCTATTGTTTCTTCGGGATCTTTGTTTGCCATTCTAAGTGGGTAAAACTTTTTGTTATCATTAACAGAAAAAACATTTATTCCTGGTAAATCTGGATTAAGTGATTCAAACTTTGAGATATCTTTTATTTTGACAGGAAATTTTATTCCTTTTGCATTAAGTTTGTTTTCATACTTTTTGATATCACTCAATCTACAATCATTCTTTTCTCTTGGATGAAGATAACGAAGTACAGACCAAAGAAAACATTTATTATCACTGTTACGAATACTCACAATAGCCTTTTTTCTCATAATCCAATCAGGAAGAGGAATATAAGAAGATCCTCCTCTCATTGGTTTGTAATCAACAGTGTGAATTTCAAGATTAATAACTTCTTTAAAATACCACCCACTACCTCCGTGTTGATATATACTTATATGTTCAACGATTTTTTTAATAACTTTAGCAAGTATTTCTTTTACATCAGTTGATTTAAGATTAATATGAGTATCTGATTGAAAAAATGCTTTATGCTTAAATTCAAAAAGGGTGTTTTTTTCTTCTTCCTTTTTTCCCATTAAACAAACTAAAATAAATCTAACTTTTATTTGGCGACGATTTCGAAGAAATTCTTTTAAATAAGAGGATTTAGATTTAAAATACTCAAACGGAGTAATTTCAGGTTCTCCCTTGATAACATATTTGTTAGCAAAATAGTCAAGAGATGATTTTTCTTTTTCTATTCCTTGATTATATTCCCTAATTGCTCTTTCGAGTGCTTTTCGCAAATAGGGGGGTGTATCTGGGGGAATTTTTTTTATTTTTAATACACTCTTGGAAATAATCCTCAAATGTCTTGATTTTTTTTGGTTTTGGTTGGGGTTTGGGTTTTTGATTCTTATTTATTTTTTCTCTTGTTTTTTGTATTTTTATTATCTCTTCTATCAACTTTTGCTTTTTTTTAATTCTTCGTACTCTTTTTTAAGTTTTTGCTGATTATCCTTTTTTATCTTTTTTAATTCAGAAATAGAAAGATTGTTTAAGTCGACGACCATTTTACTATATTATTATATTTATTTCTTTAAATCTCAATTTCATTTTTTCTGACTCGAATCATAAAGAGTAGTTATAAAATGATTCCATGCAGGTCACTTTCCAAGTACTTTTTCCCGTCATTTTTCCGATAATTGTGTCGAATTCCCTCGAGCCCCTAGTTGTTTATTTCCATCATTTTTTCGAGGCTTTTAATTTATTATAATTTCGCTTGAGCGATTTTTAATGACAGAAAAAAGTACAAAAAAAATGATGGAAATAAACGGGGTGGTTATTTTCGGGAAATGACTGGGTTTATCGGAAAAATGACGGGAAAAAGTACTTGGAAAGTGAGCGGCATGGAATCATTTTATAACTACTCTCGTGTTGCATAACTGTCTCTCAAATTGTGGAGGGTTTTGACTTGACAAACCTAAACTTTGATTTAGTTAAAAGGATCACGCTACAATGAACGGATCTTTGATCCGGCTCGCTGGGGTGGAAGGATGCAATTCCATGACAAATCGAGGACCTAAACGGTCATTCCCTTTGCACAGGCAATGCAGATGCTGTCCTTTTTTTTTCTTCTTAAAAAAACACAGCTCTTCTTCAAAATGTTCTGAGCTCTGTTGTCTCTAGTAATTCTGCGACAGGTCCTGTATAGACAGTTACCCTTTTCTTCTTCTCATCACCACTGTTTTCTAATGGAAAAGCAAATAAATATTCTTCGTGGTGCTACTGAAAGTACTGAATGTTGTTTTTGTAGCACTTGTTAAAAACTGCTGGGATAATTTCATACGTAAAATGTATTAATGGTTGCCATGGATTACTTCGTTAAATATTCTTCTCTTGGTGCTACTCAACTTTGGTTTTGAAACCTCCACTGTATTATTGTCACATACTGCCGTGACAACAAAGCAACCACGTTTTCCCTTTTGTAGATATTCGTGTCAGCAACACCGACCCAAACCTTACCGTCACAACCATTTACCACAAGAAAAAAAAGAAAGAAAAAGGAAAGAAAATAAAAAGAGATTGACCCACAAAATATAGGAATATTCAAAACCCTCGGGTAAGTTGTATAATTTTTAACGACGAGAAAGAGGTTTATGCTAACGTTTGTCGTACAGCTAAGTCACTCTCGAGAATTGTCGCTGACATTTACTGTAGAACCTCTTAGCTTCCCTTTAAATGGCAGTTGAGGGTAGTAAAACACAACCGCTTAAAGGGGTCTAACTCCAAGGAAACACCTTCTATTATGAGATCCCTTACTTTTACCACTTCTAAGCAATACTACTACTACTACTACTACTACTAATAATAATAGTAATAATAATAATAATTAATAATAATAATAATAATAACAATCTTTCAAAATATCATAAGGAAAGAATTTAGGAAGATCAATAACTACTGAGAACTAAGAATAGAAATTGCTAGAGTATGAAACATATGGATTGGTGCCCTTGGCTCCATGGCCATTCCTAGGAATTTGTATCGCCACCTTGAATGTCTCGGGATTAAAGTGCATGACTGGACGTTGCAGAGATGAGCACTGCTTGGTACAGCAAATATCCTGCGAAAGGTGCTTTCTGTCTGAGGTCATTGACTTGATCGAAAGGACAATTTAATACAAGAGCTCCAGTACCAACGTTTACTATGAGAAATAAATGATCATAATAACAACAACAATCTTTGTACAAGGTGCTCAGATTGATATTCAGTGACTATCAGGCCCTGTAAAAACTGGTAAAAGCTGGGACCGCGGAGGGGGAGGGGCTGGTACGGCTATAGCCCTACCACTTTTTTTCTGGGATTTATTTTCTAGGGCTCTAGTTGACATGGAAAAAATTACCCGTGGAATTATTGGAATCTTCCCTAAAAGATGGACGGTTAGAACCAAATGTTTTCGACGAATTCTTGAGAACTATGCAGTTCTTATGGAAGAGTGGGATGTTTTCTTGTCCGAACGATTACAACCCGATGTGCGTGTAAGGATAATAGGATGTAAGACCTAAATGGAAAGATTTGACTTTTTCTTTGGCTTGCATCTTGGAGGGCGGCTTCATTCCCACACCAATAATCAATAATCTATCTGAGGATCTTCAGGGTACTGACTGGAGGTTGGTGCTGGTGCACCAAGCTACGCCCAAACTGCCAAAGATCACTTTAAAAGGGTCTATTATGACGCTATTGATCTTATCGTCAGTGCTATCCATCAGGAAAGCTTCAGCTCCTACGCCCAGATGGAGACCCTCTTGGTTAAAGCTGGTAATGGTGACCACTATGAGGCAGAGTTCAAGTTTCTTGAAGCATCATACAGAGAAGATGTTGATACAGGGGCGCTACCTGGGCATGCAACTGAGTATTTTGGAAGTTGTGTTATAGGAGAAGATGGCTGCCAGTGTGTTTTGACGAAACCTGTTGGCGGTGTCAAAGTTTCCAGAACCAGAAAAGAAGGTAAATTCAGAAAGCCCAAACAATCTGTAAGCTGCCTGCTGTAAATCCTGCAACCAGCATTGCTGACGAGCGTTCATTCTCATCTGCACGGCGTCTGAAGACGTGGCTTCCATCCAGGATGGGTGACCTAGCAGTGTTGAATGGTCACAAGCGGAGAACAGACAGTGTCTCTATAGCTACACAGGAGTTTGTTTCCCGCAGTATGAATCACAAGAGAAGCTTCGGCACTTAAGAGGTTTATTCAACATATTGCCTATATTGGACAGTATAAATGGCGAAACACCGCCAGATTTTTTAGCCCTACCACCTTAAAATGGTCTCCGCGGTCCCTGGCTGGGTAATAAGCAAAGGTTACGGAGTGCGGGCGACAACGATCGAAGGTCAAAACGCTTTGCTCTAGCGCTGTGCTTTGCTTAAGTTTCACGTGCGAGTGACAGTTGGTCAAAACACACGTGATCAGATTACGAGTGATAGAAGGTCCAAACGCGCGTGATCAAAGTGTGTTCTATGCATTCCACACATTCTTAGTGGAAGTCCAAGCGAAAGCTTGCCACACTGCCACATACATGCGACGCTCGCGTAATTTGGGGATTAGGTTTAACCTGAGGATTAGAATTGCGGGCTCCTCTCGCCGCTAGCAGTAAAAGAAGACTAAATAGAATAGAATAGTACAGACTGGGCTTTATTGAATCACTTTACAGAATAAACTGAATTGTGTAACTTTACAATCTAAAAATATCTTATGCTAAGAAAGAGGAGAAATAAAATACATTACTAATCACTACGTTATAATTAAAAATCTTAAAATGTAAACTGCAAGTCATGAATACATT